GTGTGTGTGTGTGTTGTACGTGTGTGTGGTGTGTGTGTGTGTGTGTGTATGTGTGTGTGTGCATGCTCACATGTTCATGGAGAATGCTTCTGTTAACAGGACAGTGATATACTCTGACACATGCAATCTCTCTCTCTCTCTCTCTCGCTCGCTCGCTCGCTCGCTCTCTCTCTCTCTCTCTCTCTTGCTCGCTCGCTCTCTCTCTCTCTCTCTCTCTCTCTCTCTCTCTCTCTCTCTCTCTCTCTCTCTCTCTCTCTCTCTCTCTCTCCTCTCTCTCTCCTCTCGCTCTCTCTCTCTCTCTCCTCTCCTCTCTCCTCTCTGCTCTCGCTCGCGCTCTCTCTCTCTCTCTCTCTTTCTCTCTCCCTCATTCTTCCAGTCTTTCATTGTATGTGATGTTGTAGGATTTATCATCTATTTCTGAGGTCAGGAAGGAATGTAGTGGGCTAATATTTAACTACGTGCAACCCATAATAAGACTAAGCAATTCATATGATTAAAGTCTATTAAACTGAATATCTGACTCCATTTAACATTATAGTAAAACCATGTACAATCAAGTATTATGCGTTTAGCTGACTAAGATTGAGGAATGGTCTTGAGAAGCTAATTATTTAATAACTTTGTCAAATGAATGGATTCACATACAATGTATAAAGCTATTTGCATTGTTCACCCCACCCCCTCTTTTACGCTGCTGCTACTCTGTTTATTATCTATGCATAGTCACTTTAACTCGACCCACATGTACATATTACCTCAATTACCTCGACTAACCAGTGCCCCCGCACGTTGACTCTGTACCGGTACCCCCTGTATATAGCCTCCCTACTGTTATTTTATTTACAGGAGAAATTAGGTGCCTTAAGACCTCTCGGTTACTGGCCCAATGCTCCTAACCGCTGCCATCCAGTTCTACCTGGGACCAAAAAGTGTTCTACCTGGGCCCAATCCAACGACACCAAGTTCACAGTAACCTAAACACTCTCAGGCCCAATCTCCACAGGGCGTCACAGCATCTAAAGGCTTGTGTGAAGGATGACACCAATGTAAATGAGACAGAATTACTGAGAAGACAAAAAAAATCCATTTGCACAGAGTCATTCAGAGTTCACGCTACACAGACACAAGTTACCACAGAGATAATATATCCATATAGAGAGCATCAGAGTTATACTCAGTGAAGAATTTCAGATAGATACCAAACATGGATACTATAGTATTAGTCTATTACACATTCAATAGTCAGTCCTCTGGATACTGTAACAGAGAGATACATTTTGGCCCCTCAGAGGGGGAAGGGCGTACTGACCCTTAGGCATCGCCTTGGGCCATTTGCCATTCGGCCGGAGGTGACAGAGGGCACATAGATTATGGCCGAGCCTACAGAATGTCATACCAGGCTGTTGACTATTCGGGAGGTCCTGATGGGTCCTGCTTTGTGATTGGTCAGGACAGACATTTGGACGGGGTTTTTGTTTTAATGTAATTATGCACACTCTAGAATGCCCTTCAAGCCAATCAGAAATGAGCATTCAACATTGCCGTGGTAAAACGTGTGTGAGTTATTGCTGTGTTACAACCAGCAGCACCGGCAGCTCCAGTCAACGTATCAATAACCCAGCTGAGATCAGACTCTGCCACCATCACCTGGAGTGTACCACAGGGAGACACTGTCATTGGATACGTCATCTCACAACAGGTAGGAGATAATATGGGGGGGAAAAAATCTATATATATATATATAGTATTATAGTAGTACTATAGCACTACCAGTCAAAAGTTTGGACACACCTACTCATTCATTTTTTGGGGGGGACTATTTTTTACATTGTAGAATAATAGTGAAGACATCAAAACTATGAAATAACACATATGGAATCATGTGGTAAACAAAAAAGTGTTAAACAATTAAAAATATATTTTATATTTGAGATTTGAGCTTCACCTGGAATGCTTTTCCAACAGTCTTGAAGGAGTTCCCACATATGCTGAACACTTGTTGGCTGCTTTTCCTTCACTCTGCGGTCCGACTCATCCCAAACTATCTCAATTGGGTTGAGGTCAGGGGATTGTGGAGGCCAGGTCATCTGATAAAGCACTCCATTACGCTCCTTCTTGGTAAAATAAACCTTACACAGCCTGGAGGTGTGTGGGGTCATTGTCCTGTTGAAAAACAAATGATAGTCCCACTAAGCCCAAACCAGATGGGATGGCGTATCGCTGCAGAATGCTGTTGTAGCCATGCTGGTTAAATGTGCCTTGAATTCTAAATAGATCACAGACAGTGTCACCAGCAAAGCACCCCCACACCATAACACCTCCTCCTCCATGCTTTATGGTGGGAAATACACATGAGGAGATCATCCGTTCAGCCACACCGCGTCTCACAAAGGCAAGGCTGTTGGAACCAAAAATCTCCAATTTGGACTCCAGACCAAAGGACACATTTACACCGGTCTAATGTCCATTGCTTATGTTTCTTGGCCAAAGCAGGTCTCTTCTTCTTATTGGTGTCCTTTAGTAGTGGTTTCTTTGCAGCAATTCGACCATGAAGGCCTGATTCACGCAGTCTCCTCTGAACAGTTGATGTTGAGATGTGTCTGTGACTTGAACTCTGTGAAGCATTTATTGGGCTGCAATTTCTGAGGCTGGTAACTCTAATGAATTTATCCTCTGCAGCAGAGGTAACTCTGGGTCTTCCATTCCTGTGGCGGTCCTCATGAGAGCCAGTTTCATCATAGCACTTGATGGTTTTTGCGACTGCACTTGAAGAAACTTCTTGAAATGTTCTGGATTGACTGACCTTAAAGTAATGATGGACTGTCATTTCTCTTTGCTTATTTGAGCTGTTCTTGCCATAATATGGACTTGGTCTTTTACCAAATAGAGCTATCTTCTGCATATCCCCCCTACCTTGTCACAACACAACTGATTGGCTCAAACACATAAAGAAGGATGAAATTCCACAAATTAATCTTTAACTAGGCACACCTGTTAATTGAAATGCATTCCAGGTGACTACCTCATGAAGCTGGTTGAGGGAATACCAAGAATGTGCAATGCTGTCATCAAGGCAAAGGGTGGCTATTTGAAGAATCTCAAATATAAAATATATTTTGATTTGTTTAACACTTTTTTGGTTACTACATGATTCCATATGTGTTATTTCATAGTTTTGATGTCTTCACTATTATTCTACAATGTAAAAAATAGCAAAAATAAAGAAAAACCATGGAATGACTAGGTGTTTCCAAACTTTTGACTGGTACTGTATATATAAAGCATACATACAGGGCCTTCGCAAAGTTTTCAGACCCCTTGACTTTTTCCACATTTTATTACGTTACAGCCTTATTCTAAAATGGATTAATTTATTTATTTTTGCTCATCAATCTACACACAATACCCCATAATGTCAAAGCGAAAACAGGTTTTTAGAATGTTGCAAATTTATTAAAAATAAAAAACTGAAATACCTTATTTAAATAAGTATTCAGACCCTTTGCTATGAGACTCGAAATTGAGCTCAGGTGCGTGCTGTTTCCATTGATCATCCTTGAGATGTTTCTACAACTTGATTGGAGTCCACCTGTGGTAAATTCAATTGATTGGACATGATTTGGAAAGGCACACACCTATCTATATAAGGTCCCAAAGTTGACAGTGCATGTCAGAGCAAAAACCAAGCCATGAGGTTGAAGTAATTGTCCGCAGAGCTCCGAGACAGGATTGTGTCGAGGCACAGATCTGGGGAATTTATGCAGCATAGAAGGTCCCCAAGAACATCTTTCCATCATTCTTAAATGGAAGAAGTTTGGAACCACCAAGACTCTTCCTAGAGCTGGTCGCCCGGCCAAATTGAGCAATCGGGGGAGAAGGGCCTTGGTCAGGGAGGTGACCAAGAACCTGATGGTCACTCTGACAGAGCTCCAGAGTTCCACTGTGGAGATGGGAGAATCTTCCAGAAGGACGACCATCTCTGCAGTACTCCACCAATCAGGCCTTTATGGTAGAGTGGCCAGACGGAAGTCACTCCTCAGTAAAAGGCACATGACAGCCCGCTTGGAGTTTGCCAAAAGGCACCTAAAGGACTCTCAGACCATGAGAAACAAGATTCTCTGGTCTGATGAAACCAAGATTGAACTCTTTGGCCTGAATGTCAAGTGTCATGTCTGGAGGAAACCTGGCACCATCCCTACGGTGAAGCATGGTGGTGGCAGCATCATGCTGTGGGGATGTTTTTCAGCTGCAGGGACCGGGAGACTAGTCAGGATCGAGGGAAAGATGAACGAAGCAAAGTACAGAGAGATCCTTGATTTAAAATCTGCTCCAGAGCGCTCAGCACCTCAGACTGGGGCAAAGGTTCACCTTCCAACAGGACAACGACTCTAAGCACACAGCCAAGACAATGCAGGAGTGGCTTCGGGACAAGTCTCTGAATGTCCTTGAGTGGCCCAGCCAGAGCCCGGACTTGAACCCAATCGAACATCTCTGGAGAGACCTGAAAATCGCTGTGCAGCAAAGCTCCCCATCCAACCTGACAGAGCTTGAGAGGATCTGCAGAGACGAATGGGAGACACTCCCCAAATACAGGTGTGCCAAGCTTGTAGCGTCATACCCAAGAAGACTCAAGGCTGTAATTGCAACAAAGTACTGAGTAAAGGGTCTGAATACTTACGTAAATGTAATATTTAAGTGTTTTATTAAAATATTAATTTGCATAAAAATCTAAAAAACAGTTTTTTCTTCGTCATTATGGCATATTGTGTGTAGATTGATGAGATTTTAGAAAAAGGCTGGAAAGTAAACAAAATGTGGAAAAAGTCTGAATAGTTTCCAAATACATTGTATATGTGTGTGTGTGTGTGTGTTTGCATGTAATATAGCCAAACAGTATGCTATTTGATATAATATTACACATTGTGTGTGTGTGTGTAGAGGCAGGACGGGCTGATGCAGCGCTCCATTCGGGAGGTGAACTCGTCAAGTCGAGCGTGTGTGTTGTGGGACCTGGATGAAGACACACACTACAGTGTACAGGTAGAGGTTGGAGGTCATGGATTAGAGGTCAGGGGTCAGAGGTCAAGGTTTAGAGGTCAGGGTTTAGAGGTCAGGGTTTAGAGGTCATGGTTTAGATTAGGGCTGGACGGTATGACCCAACACATGAATCCTAAGTGGTTTTAATGGCTTTCTGTCACAATCGCTATAAGCAACGGACCAAGGCGTAGCGTGATATGCGTACATCTTTTAATGAGTACTTTATAACAATAACAAAACAATACGTGAAGTCCTAAGGTTAACAAATCACAAACCTCTCCGGAACAAGATCCCACAAATGACAAGTGCAAAACAGGCTGCCTAAGTATGGTTCCCAATCAGAGACAACAAGCCACAGCTGCCTCTGATTGGGAACCACCCCGGCCAACATGGAAACAAATGAACTAGAACATGAACATAGAACACTAAACATAGAAACTAACACCCTGGCTCAACATATAAGAGTCCCCAGAGCCAGGGCGTGACACTTTCTCCATTCTGATGGTTTTATTGTAATCCAAACTAGGACAAAACTGACAGTAAAGTCGTATAATTTGTAGAACTTTTCATTTATTTAGTACACAAAAAAAAAGTGCTCTCTAGAACCTAAAAGGGTTCTTCGGCTGTCCCCATAGGAGAACCCTTTGAAGAACCCTTTTTTGTTCCATGTAGATCCCTTTCCACAGAGGGTTCTACATGGAACCCAAAGGAGTTCTACCTGGAACCAAAAAGGGTTCTCCAATGGGGACAGCTGATGAACCCCTTTGGAACCCTTTTTTCTAAGAGTGTACTCTATCAACATAATTTAGACGGTATTGTAAAGATCCAAACTGGTATGTGGATCCATGCTGGTATACCTTAAAATATGATATATTGCCCAGCCCTAGTTTAGAGAGCAGGGGTCAGAGGTCATTAGTTTATTAGCAGAAGCAGAAGCTACTCTTACCTGGGGTCCACAAAAAACACTGTAAGTAACAAAATAACAAAACACTGAAAACACCGATAGACAAGGACAGTCACATACATTTAAAATACAACGAAATACAAACAATACAACAACAACAAAAATGGTGTGTTAGAGTGTGTGTGTGTGTGTGTGTTAGTGTGTGTGTGTGTGTGTGTGTGTGTGTTAGAGTGTGTGTGTGTGTGTGTTAGAGTGTGTGTGTGTGTGTGTGTGTGTGTGGTGTGTGTGTGTGTGTGTGTTAGAGTGTGTGTGTGTGTGTGTGTGTGTTGTAGGGTGGTGTGTGTGTGTAGAGGTGGGTGGGTGTGTGTGTGTGTGTGTGTTAGAGTGTGTTGTGTGGGGTGTATGTTGTGTGTGTGTGTGTGTGTGTTGTGTTAGGTGTTTGTGTGTGTGTTGTTGTGTGTGTGTTGTGTGTGGTGTGTTTTTGGTGTGTGTTTTGTGTGTGTGTTTGTTATGTTGGGTGTTGTGTGTGTGTTGTGTGTGTGTGTGTTGTGTGTGTGTGTGTGTGTGTGTGTTTGTGTGTTTGTGTCTGTGTGGTGTGCCCCTTCACAGTCCCTGCATTCAATTTCAAACCAACTTTACACAAACTGTGTGGAAGCATTGGGCGTCAACATGGTCCAGCAATCCCTGTGAACGCGTTTCGACACCATTGTAGATTCCATGGCCACCGACGAATTGAGGCGTTTCCTGAGGGGCAAAAGGGGGTGTCAACACCATTACTCAATAAGCTGAACAAAAATTAGTAAACGCAACATGTAAAGTGTTGGTCCCATGTTTCATGAGCTGAAATAAAAGATCCCAGAAATGTTCCATATGCTTATTTCTCTCAAATGTTGTGCACAAATTTGTTTACATCCCTGTTAGTGAGCATTTCTCTTTTTCCGAGATAATCCATCCACCTGACAGGTGTGGCATATCAAGAAGCTGATTAAACTGCATGATCATTACACAGGTGCACCTTGTGCTGGGGACAATAAAAGGCCACTCTAAAATGTGCAGTTTTGTCACACAACACAATGCCACAGATGTCTCAAGTTTTGAGGGATCATGCAATTGGCATGCTGACTGCAGGAATGTCCACCAAAGCCGTTGCCAGATAATTTAATGTTAATTTCTCTACCATAAGCTGCCTCCAACATCGTTTTAGAGAATGTGGCAGTACGTCCAACCTGCCTCACAACCGCAGACTATGTGTATGGCATCGTGTCAGCGAGCGGTTTGCTGATGTCAACGTTATGAACAGAGTGCCTCATGGTGGCGGTGGGGTTATGGTACGGACAACAAACACAATTGCATTTTATCGATGGCGATTTGAATGCACAGCGATACCGTGACGAGATCCTGAGGCCCATTGTCGTGCCATTCATCCGCCACCATCACCTCATGTTTCAGCATGATAATGCAAGGCCTCATGTCGCAAGGATCTGTACACACTTCCTGGAAGCTGAACATTTCCCAGTTCTTCCATAGCCTGCATACTCACCAGACATGTCACCCATTGA